GGATTGAACTGTGGTATGATACAATTTTGGTAACATAAAGTTGGTAAACAAACATACCCCACATATATGACAGATCAAAATCAATAATAATGTATTTCTTACACACTTAGTAGTTAAAGGGAGGGAGTTATTTTTCAACTGATCCCTGTCATTTTTGATGCCTCAGGGACCCATGTTCCTTCATCTTATGACTGCCCATCCAGAGGTAGAGTTTTTGCTTTTGTGCTATGGTCCCATCTTTCACTCTGGTAAAGGCTAACAATCTTTTCTAAGTATAATGTATTTAAATTCACAGAGAAATATATTTAGGTTTTTAAAGGAAACATGATATAAATTTAGAAAATTTATATAAAACTTGATACAGTAATATATGTGCTTTTAATTGACTTTAAATAACTGCATGAAGGAGCACTTTTCTAATAACAACAGTCTTGAAGTGACAATGAGATTAAATAATATTTTGAGATCCCTGAAGGAGAAAAATTGTGATATGAAAATATTTGTGATGTGGACTACCAGCCAAGGCACAGCTACTACTCAATCTATTGAGGTTTGCTGACTGCCATCATTCTTAATGTAGCAGAAGAGAGGGAGATGATAAATGCAAACAAGTGGCTATATAATAGGTCATATGCTACAGCTGATCCATATCAGACCAATAATCATTTATTTTGTCTCTTCAGCCAGGCCTTTTTCTGTCTTCCTTAAAGTTATACCACATATTCAGAGGCTGTTGTGCAGCAGGTTGTCTACCTGAGATGCCTACCACCACCTACATTGGAGGACAAAGCTTGAATCCCAGTTACTCTGTCCTTCCAATCCAGCTTCCTGCCAATTCGCTTTGGAGGCAGCTGTTGATGGCCCAAGTACTTGGGTTCTTGCCACCCACGTGAGAGACCCAGATGGAGTAACTGGCTCCTGGTTTTGGCCTGGCTTAAACTTGGCTTATGTGCACATTTGGGGAGAGCTAGCAGATGGAAGATATCTCTTTGTCTTCCCACTCTCCCTCTCTGTCACTCTGCCTTTCAAATAAATAAAATGAATATGTTTTAAAAAAGAGAAAGAAATGGAAAGAGCTAAATCTAAACAAGGCCACCAAATTTTTGTATCTAGCTCCATACTAGCACAGTGGGAATGGAAGGCATAAATTTTGTGAAAAATGTTTTCTTGCAGTTAAGTCAGTTTACAGAGCTGTAAGAGGGAGTCTAATTTAGAACCTATTAACTCTGTTGTGATCATAAGGGTAAATTATAGAACTCTAAATTAGTCTTTCCCTGGTGTTTTCTAACCCTTTAATGTTTTGCCTTTTAGTTTCCATGCCCTTTTTCTGTTTATTGGTAATCTTAACAAATTGTATTGGCAAAATAGTATCTAAATAGCTATCATAATAATATAATATATGGAGAAATATTTTGTGGCTTGTGAACATCATATAAGCATTTCCAAAAACAAGCCGGCTATTCACATAGTAACCATTCATTAGTGATTCATGTTCTGCACGCACTCACTGTGAGTGCTGCAGAAGGAAGGTAAGAATCTGACAGAGCCTGGACAAAACCTAAGAGTGTAGCAGGAGGAAGAGCATGACTATGCTTGGAAAAGAAATAAAGTTTTAAGTCGAGGTGAAGCTTGGGCACGGATTTTAGGAATGGATGTCATTTCAACAGGTGGGAAGCAGATGGGAAAAAAGAAAATGAGGTTTTAGAAATGCGGAATAATCTTGGGTTGACTATAGCTTAGAGGCTACAAGGGAGAATAGAAGGAGGGTCAACTCTGAAAACGTATGAAACACTAAGGTCATGAACAGCTTAATTCTACCAAGCTTTTAGCATTTACACACGTTATCATCCTCATCATTCTCATCAATACACCGTGATGATACCACAGTAAGAGGAGCAGAGAAGCAGGTTAGAGCACTATTATAAAATTCAAGGAGCAGTGGGTGTATTCCTGAACCCATTGACTACAGAAAAGGAAATGAGTGGATTAATTAGAAAATTTATATTTAGAAAGAACAGGTCACTTGGGCTGGCATGTGGTAGGTTGTTAACATGCTGCTTGGGATACCAGTATTTCGTATCAAAGTGCCAAGCCCCAAGCCCAGGATCTGCTCTCAATTCCAGCTTCCTGCTAAGGAAGCAGCAGGCGGTTGTTTGTGTGATAGAGTTCCTGCCACCCGCATGGGAGATCCAGCTTGAGTTCCTTCCAGGCATTTGGGAAGTGAACCAGCAGATGGGAAAGTCTCTGCCCCTCTCTCTGTCTCTGCCTCTCTGCCTTTCAAATAAAAATAAAGACAAAACCAAAAAATAAATACTAGTTCCTGGCAGCCCATTTTTTTCAGGGCTAAATGAGAGAAGAAGTTGAAGCAGCGATTTCTGACTGGTTACTCCACAGGCTGGTTGCACTAGATAAACCACAGTAGAAAACAAAGGCAGTGGGTTAGACTGCAGGAAGAAAGATAATGGGCTCAGCCTGAGACATTTTAAGTTTGCTGTATGAGCAAGACATGCATTTTACACTCACAGAAACAGTTGCGGGTATAAATCTGAAACTTAAGGAGGAGCCAGGGTTTGAGTCCTAGGTCTCCTGAGAATTGTTTGGGAAACGTGAGTAAAATCAGTTAAGAAAGCACTGTCAAATAGAACATAAATCAATTTGGAATCACCTAGAAAAGTAGCTCCACTGAGCAATCTGACCTTCTCATACCAGCTGCGATTTTTTTTATTAAACTAAATGATAGATGAGAAAAAAGAAACATCAAAAGACTCTTGAGTAAAGCTTTATAAAATATGCTCTGCTGTACTTTCACAGACAAGATTAAAGCAGGATTTTATTCCCTTTAATGTATTTATGTTTGTTTTGAGATAATGGCAAATGTGTCATTATCTACAGATACACTTACATACTGAAGAGCAATTTGAGGCCTCTGTAGAAGATGCCTCAGAAACCAAAACTGGGACATGTGTCTATTCCTGGACCAGTCACTTCTAAGGGAAATGGAATTATCCCTGGAATCATTATTATCTTCTGAGATAGAGAATAGAAAGGAAGAATGGGATTTACCTCATTGAGATATTTAGCTATGTGTGTGGGTGGGGTAGTGATTAAGGAAAAAAAAAACAAAAAAACAAAAAAAAAAAAACAGGATATTCTTGGAAAGAAAGGAGTAATAGGTGCCTGTGCTGTACTGTAGCCGGTAAAGCTGTAGCCTTTGAGTGCCAGCATCTCATACGGATGACAGTTGTATCCTGGCTGTTTCACTTCCAAGCCAGCTCTTTGCTGCTGACCTGGAAAAGCAGTGGAAGATGGCTCAAGTTTGGGATCCTGCCACCCACATGGGAAACTAGGTTGAAGCTCCTGGCTTCAGCCCAGCTCTGGCTGTTGTAGCTGTTGAGAGTGACAGCAGATGGAGGATCTCTCTCTCTGTCTCTCTCTGTCTGTCCCTCTATCTCATATAACTTTCAAAACAAATCTTTAAAAAGAGAAAGGAGTAATAGATCTTGTGAGCATAAAAGTAGTGTCAATTATATCTTGATGATCTGATTACAAATAACAATAACAATGACAACAAGTATTGGCATCCGGACCACTAGTTTTGTACAAAATTTATGTTGTCTTCCTATTTGTGTGAATGGAGTTTATAAAGGATTTTGTCCTCAGGGTTATTGTTGTGGACTAGCATAAACAATCAATTAACAAAAAGTTTACATAAAAGCTATGGAAAATTGGGCTGAATACAGATAGCATAAGGAAATAAGTTGGAAGGTATTTTAATGAAATTTTATATTTTATATATTAAAAATGTAAGTTCACAAATGAGGATATCATTTAGTGTTTTCACTGGTAAATGCCCACTGCCTAAAATGATGCCGTCTCTCAGTAAAAAGCCATGGAATGATTAAATGGAGAAACATCTTTCTATTGTCTTTCTTTAAGCAATGGTTTCTTTCTTTACTTGAGAGATAGAGGGAGAGAAAGAGAGAGTTTCTATCTACTCTTTTGCTATCCAAGTGGCCACAATGTCAAGTTGAAACTTGAACCCATTATTGGATATGGGATGCCATTGTCCCAGGCACCAGCTTAACCCACTGAGTCACTTTCATGGTGATCCTTATCCTCTACTGAAAACAGAGAATTCTTTATAAATATTTTATTTCTAATTGCTAGACATTTTTTATTCTGCTCTTTCCTTTTGCAATGTTCTTTTTAAATTTAATGTGGTCTCTCATCTGTCTTTCAACTGTATCCAAAGCTCTGAATTTATTCATATTGGCTTCTTGGCTTTCAAATACACTGGCAGAATTTGTTCTGAGTGGGTGAAGCTGTGTTCTTATCGATAGCCACCTGCCCTGAACTCTACCTTCTAAGGTATGGCCAAAGACTCACTGCACTAGTTTTCAAATTGATGAAATTAGCTTTCTAAAGTTAATTTTCTTAATCTTGCTGACATTTCTTCTCCCCTTTCTTAGGGCAGGGGACTCAGTTTCATCAACTTGTGATTACTTCCTGAGGGTTTCCTTGTACTGTTAGGAGCCTGTCTAATTTTTCCCTATGAGCAGGAATAGTATCTGCTCTGGGAAATATTTCCTTCATCACAGAACATCATGCCTTGAGATTTCATTGCTTCATAATGGCTCTGTCATCTGTATTGTTATTTTGCTATATGTCTGTCGATGCTTTTCTGTCTTTACTTAAAATTGTGTTAAGTTGACTAGAGAAAACCTCAGAAACCTTCTTTTCCTGGTTAGGTTTTTTATTCCAAGGAGCTTCAAAAAAATCTATGGAAAGTGGAATTAAAAGTTTATTTGTGTTGAAAAGCATGCATGTTTTCATAAATGCATTTCTTTCTTTTCTTTTTCTTTTTTCAATTTTTATTTTTATTTTTAACTTTTATTTAGTAAATATAAATTTCCAAAGTACAGCTTATAGATTACAATGGCTTTCCTCCCATAACTTCCCTCCCACATGCAACCCTCCCAACTTTCACTCCCTCTCCCATTCCATTCACATCAAGATTCATTTTCAATTATCTTTATATACAGAAGACCAATTTAGTATATATTAAGTAAAGATTTCAACAGTTTGCACCCACACAGAACATAAATTGTAAAATACTGTTTCAGTACTAGTTATAGCATTACTTCACATTGGACAACACATTAAGGACAGATCCTACATGAGGAGTAAGTACACAGTGACTCCTGTTGTTAACACTTGGTCAATTATTGCTGCCTTGCAGGGTGTACACTAGCAGAAAGCTGGGGTCAGTAGTTAAAGCCCTGTATCCAATCCGTGTACTCCAATATGGGATGTGGGTATTAAACTACTAGACTAAATGCCCACTCTTGCTTCAATAATTCTTTCAAAATGCATTACTATGGGAAATGACTAAGAGAAAGCATCTTATGATATCCACATTCATACAAATACGTACTCAGCATCCAGCAAATTAAAAATAAATTCTAGATGATTCTAGACTGTATACCATGTTTTAATTGTATACCCATCTCTCTCTTATGCATTTGAAAGACATTTTCTTGGAAAGTTAGTCAACATTTGCTATTTCTCCTTTCTCAATTCCAGTTCTCCCTGCAATCTATACCAGTCTCCAAGATGATCCATATGATACCATTTAAGATGCTCTTGCCAAGGTCATTTATAATGTCCAGGATTTCAAATCAAGTAATACTTCTCTGATCTCATCTTGCTACACCTCTTAGAACCCTTTAACAAAGTTTACTATTCCTTTCTTCTTAAGCCAGTGTTGTGGCATACAGGCCACCTGTGAGGACGGCATCATTTATGGGTGCTGGTTCAAGGCTTGATTGCTCCATTTCCAATCCAGCTCTCTGCTAATGGCCTAGGAAAAGCAGTGGAAAATGAATCAAGTACCTGAGCCTCTGTCACCCATGTGGGAGACATGGGTGAAGCACCTAGCTCCTGGTGTTAGTCCGACATGGTGCTGGCTGTTGTATTTGAGGAGTGAACCAGTGGATGGAAGATCTCTCTCTCTCTCTTTCTTTCTCTCTCTTCCTTCCTTCCTTCTTGAAGCACTTTTTCTTCTTGGCTTAATTGACACCACACTCTGGTGGTAGCACACATATTAACCATTGTGAGTGGGAAATATAAATCTTTCTTTTTACTTTTTTTTTTTTAACTTTTATTTAATGATAATAGATTTTCAAAGTACAGCTTATGGATTACAATGGCTTCCCCCCCATAACGTCCCTCCCACCTGCAACCCTCCCCTTTCCCACTCCCTCTCCCCTTCCATTCACATCAAGATTCATTTTTGATTCTCTTTATATACAGAAGATCAGTTTAGCATACATTAAGTAAAGATTTCAACAGTTTGCTCCCACACAGAAACATAAAGTAAAAAATACTGTTTGAGTACTAGTTATAGCATTAAATCTCAATGTACAGCACACTAAGGACAAAGATCCTACATGAGGAGTAAGTGCACAGTGACTCCTGTTGTTGACTTAACAAATTGACACTCTTGTTGATGGCCTCAGTAATCACCCTAGGCTCTTGTCATGAGCTGCCAAGGCTATGGAAGCCCCCTGAGTTCACTGACTCTGATAATTGTTAGACAAAGCCATGGTCAAAGTGGAAGTTCTCTCCTCCCTTCAGAGAAAGGTACCTCCTTCTTTGATGACCCATTCTTTCCACTGGGATCTCACTCGCAGAGATCTTTCATTTAGTTTTTTTTTTTTCCCCAGAGTGTCTTGGCTTTCCATGCCTGAAATATTCTCATGGGCTTTTCAGCTGGATCTGCATGCCTTAAGGGCTGATTCTGAGGCCAGAGTGCTGTTTAGGACATCTGCCATTCTATGGGTCTGCTGTGTATCTTAATTTTTAAAATATCTATTCTCTGTGAGATTCCTCAAATTGCTGTAGGAAATAAAAGGTATATATAAGTAAGACGATGTGTTAAATATACAATCATTTATGTTTATCTTACAGCTTAAAGATGCCATAAAAGATATCAAAGAACATATAACCATGGGCCTAGTCAGGTAAAGTTGTTTGTCTCCATGTGCTATGGAAGATGTAAACTGACAATGATGTTAAAGAATATTTGAGGCTGGTGCCGCAGCTCACTTGGCTAATCCTCTGCCTGCGGCGCTGGCACCCCGGGTTCTAGTCCCGGTTGGGGTGCCAGAGTCTGTCCCTGTTGCTCCTCTTCCAGTCCAGCTCTCTGCTGTGGCCCAGGAAGGCAGTGGAGGATTGCCCAAGTGCTTGGACCCTGCACCCACATGGGAGACCGGGAGGAAGCACCTGGCTTCTGGCTTCAGAATGGTGCAGTGCACCAGCCGTAGCAGCCATTTGGGGGTGAACCAACGGAAAAGGAAAACTTTTCTCTCTGTCCCTCTCTACTAACTCTGCCTGTCAAAAAATGTTAAAGAAAAAGAATATTTGTGTTTATATGTAGACTATTTGAAGATGCATATAATACCTAAAAAGTAAGAATCTAGAGAGAATGAGGGCAACAATAACCATCAGGATTAAGAAAGCCTAAGAGACTACACATAGCTGAATTCTCCTTCTAATAAAATGAGTCAGTTTTCTTAGGGCATAGCCTCCATTAACCTTGAGATCCAGCAGCAGCTGCTGGAAGGCATTCCTAAGCAGAATATGAGGAAGAGCTTATCACCATAGGTTCATGGTATAATCACAGAAACACTGGATGTGAGCTGGAGCAGGTAGATTAAAAATTAGGGAGTTGTACCTGATCTGTCTAGAGGATTAGAAGGTTAGGGCTCCACAGCCAAAAGGAATCACAGCACTTGCATAGTTACACAAACATTTTTTTCTTTGGAATAAATTACACAGGGAGATTATACTGTAAAACCTGACTCTTCACAACCAATGCAGAGCTTGAGACAAGGACTTATGTTTATGTGTTGATAGTAGAATGCAGGAATGAAGGACAAGGGAGATGGGGAGAATGAGAAAGAGCTATAATACATGTCTGTTGTTAAGGTCAGCCGAGTGCAACTGGAGTTTGATCCTACCTGAGATCTCCTCAAAAGCCTGTGAATGCCTCCCAAACTTCAATTCTTAATCATCAAAGAGGAGAGACATTCATCCATGAAGGCTCACTTACCATGGGTAGAGGATTACTCTGTAGGCTTATTCTGTTCTCCAGTCCTTTTCCACCTCTCTTATACTCTTCATGGATTCCTGCCAGTTACTGGCCATTCTTGGCTTCACAGTGAGAGATGCTGTCAGCTCACAGTGAGTTGAAAGCCAAACAAAATTATTTATGGAGACTGCTGCTGGAATCAGTAGGGAGACCTAGAGCATGGAGGTAGGGGAAGGGTATAATAGAGACATTTGATACAGAAATTATGGTGATTATAATTGAATAATTCTTGGAAATTGGGGATGGCCCAATTATCATTTACACAGAAGAACAAAACTTGGTTAAATAGTGTATAGCTAACATGTATGACAAAATATTTGATGCCACTTAAATGTTTTAGAAGAATATTTAAGGCTTTGGAAAATTCTTCATATTAAGTGAGTCACATAAATGGCAAGTGGTATTTATAGGTAACAATAATGTATGTACATAAAATTATTTGAAAATGTTAATGAAAATACTAGCAGTGGTTATTTTGGGAAAGTAGGATTATGATTTATCTTCATTTTCTCTTTTGTATCTTTCCAATTTTCTAAATGGCTTACAAAAAGAATAGTATTTCAGTAACTAAAAAAGTTGATGCAGAGATCAGTGTTAGGGCACAATGGGTTAAACTTCCAGCTGTGATGTCAGGATCTTGTATCAGTGTTGGTTCAAGTCCTGGCTGCTCCACTTCCAATCCAGCTTCTAGGTGATCTCTCTCTCTCTCTGTAATGCTGCCATTCAGGTAAATATCTATATAATATATTATATATTTATAAATATATATTATAATATATTTATAATATATATTATATATTTACATATAATTATATTAATAAAGGTAATGTTAAAATAATGAAGGTAATAATAATAAAAATAATAAAGATAATAAAGGAAAATTGTGGTTACGGGCACTAAATGACCACTTAATATGGACCAGAACCTCATGTCACATGACAGCACATTCTCATGGTATCCTATCTGGTCCAGTGCCTGGATATTTTTCTAAATATTCTTTCATAATAAAAAAACGAGTGTAGAGAAGACATACAGTTCCTCTGAAGACCTTACACACCAGATGGAGATGATAGTGGAACATTAACAAGAGAGACTAGGGTAAAGCATATGACAACAACTGGTTTGTGGAGAAGACAACCTACATCCCAGGTGAAAGCAACAAACTGTTTTCTAAGTTGTGCAGAAAATAATAATTGTGGAAATGAAAAGGAAAAAAATCTGTCTTGTATAGCTGGAAATCAGTTGTTTTTTCTTGAGCAGAATTCAGATTGATGGTGAATTTACAAAAAAGGGGGGAAAAGAATTAGGATTAAAAAGAATTAGAATGAAACCAAACTGAAAATATAGCCCAAAAATTATCATGCAATTTTTAAAGAAAATAGTGCTTATCTAGCAAATGGATTCTTTCTTAAACCAAACTTTCTTATTTCTATGAAAGGTTGACTACAGGTAACTCATTTTTAAATATGATAGAAATTTTGAAAATTTCACATATCAATACTTTGTTATTACAGTGTTATTTTGGTAAATGTTACTTCTTTATTGAAACCTTAAAAATTATATTCTTTTCTTTTAGAATTGCAAACCATTTTATTTTCATAAGATAATGAATGTGATTTAATTATATTCTCATAAAATTAAGTTGAAGTATTTCAATTTGATTTTTCCCCACAACATTTTATTTAAGGTATACAAACTTCATGCATTTCATAAATACAACTTTAGGAACATAGTGATTCTTCCCACCCTACCCTCCCTCCCAACTACACTCCAAACATTCTTTCTCTCCCTTCTTCTGTTCCCAGTTTATTTTTTACTAAGATCTATTTTCAATTAACTCTATGCACATAAGATTAACCCTACACTAAATACAGAGTTCAACAAATAGTATGAAAAAAAAAACTGTTCCTCAACACCAGTGACAAGAGCTTTTAAAAATCATTGCATCTAAAACATTAATTCCATTTCTATACATTACTTTTTAGGTACTCTATTAGTTTCCACAGATCAGGGAGAATGTATGGTATTTGTCTTTTTTGGGACTGGCTTATTTCACTAAGTATAATGTTTTCCAGGTGCATCCATTTTGTTGTAAATGACAAGATTTCATTTTTTTTAACCACTGTGTGATATTTCATGGTGTACATGTCCCATTATTTCTTTATCCAGTCTTCCAATGATTGAGATAAGGGTTGATTCCATATCTTAGCTATTATGAGTTGAGCTGCAATAAATTTGGGAGTACAGCTAGCCCTTTCATATGCTGATTTCATTTCCTTTGGGTAAATTCCCAGGAGTGGGATGGTTGGGTCATATGATAGGTCATATTCAACTTTGTGAGGTATCTCCATTCTGTCTTCCACAGTGGCTGTATGTCGCGTCCCTCGACCAGCAAGGAAGACACAACCCGAACTCTTCTTCAAGCAGTTTATTCAGGAACCTTGAACAAGCTTCTTCTTCTGCCTCCTTCCCTCTCCCATCCCTCTTATAGTCATCAGCACACCAATCAAAGGCAGCCAAGTGGCAAGGATTGATAGATACAGCAATGCGGAAGCCGGAAGGGAGCTCAGCCATCTCCTTATTAGGAGTTGTTTGTTTCTCGCCAGTCCTTCCGGGAGAAAGGAGCCGGTGCCATCTTTAGGGCGCGGTGCAATGGCTCCCCACAGCTGTATTAGTTTACACTCCCACCAACAGTGGATTAGAATGCTTTTTTTCCTACATCCTTGCCAGCATTTGTTTTTGTAGATTTCTGTAGGAGAGTCATTTTAACAGGGGTGAGATGATATCTAATTGTGCTTTTGATTTGCATTTTCCTGATGGCTAGTGATCTTGAGCATTTTTTCATGTGTCTGTTCGCCATTTGAATTTCCTCTTTTAAAAATGCCTGTTCAAATCCTTTGCCCATTTCCTAACTGGATTGTATGTTTTGTTGTTGAGTCTCTTATATTCTGCATATTAATACTTTATCAGTTATTGTCGCTCCCCCTCTTTGCGGAGGAATGACACTAAACCCTGCGCTGTTCTTTTGTCTGCTCGGCCCTTCCCGGGTTTGCTGCTGGTCCTTCCCATGTTGGCTGCAGACCCCTCCACCTCCGTGGAGGGGCGGCCCCCCCCTGCCACTTTCCCCGCTTCCTCGGAGGAGCGGCACACTGCCGGCCGGCTCTCTCGGGGGCTGATCAGGTGTTATCCGGATGTTCGTGGTGCATGTTGTCTCTCTCCTCCTTTGTAGTCCTCTTCCACCAATTCCAACTCTGCTGCCCACATGCCGAGCACGCTGCTCTCCTCCAATCAGGAGCAGGATCAGCTCCTGCAGCTTATCAGTCAAATTGGCAAGAGGCAGCTGCGTAGAAGTTTACTCCTCCCCAGCGCCATATTGTGGGAGAGCAGATGCATAGAATAAGTCTTAATTCCAGTAACTTAGTCTCGTCTCAGTTGCTCCCCACAAGTTATATAGTTTGCAAATAATTTTACCATTCTTTTGGTTGCCTCTTCACTTTGCTGAGTATTTCTTTTGTAGTGCTGAAGCTTCGCAGCTTAATGTAATCCCATTTGGTCATTTTGGCTTTGATTGCCTGTGCTTCTGAGGTTTTCCCAGGGACTCTGCCTATGCAGTGTCTTGTAGGGTTTCCCCAACATTCCCTAATAATTTTATGGTATCAGCTTTTGACAAAAAATTTCCTCCAACATAAATTACGAATTTATTTATATAAAAATATTTTTGCACATTAGAAGGCACCATATAAAGTTACCAGTTCTGAAAACACAATGACAGCAAAGATGGGTAGATATTTTTGTTATGAATCTCTGATATAGAAGAGATGCTGTAAAAGATATTATTGGAAGGGGGCTGGTCCTGTGGAGTAGCGGGTAAAGCTGCTGCTGCAGTGCCAGCATCCCATATGGGCACTGGTTCAACTCCTGGCTGCTCTACTTCCTATCCAGCTCTCTGCTATGGCCTTGGAAAGCAGTAGAAGGTGGCCTGAGTCCTTGGGCCCCTGCACCCATGTGGGAGACCTGGAAGAAGCTCCTGGCTCCTGATTTCTGATTGGCACAGCTCCAGCTGTTGCAGCCCACTGGGTAGTGAACCCGCAGATGGAAGACCTCCCTCTCTCTTTCTCTTTTTATCTGTCTCTCTGGCTCTCCTTCTCTCTCTGTGTACATCTGACTTTCAAATAAATAAATAATTTTTTTGACAGGCAGAATGGACAGTGAGAGAGAGAGACAGAGAGAAAGGTCTTCCGTTTGCCGTTGGTTCACCCTCCAATGGCCGCCGCCGGCTGCAGCGCGCTGATCCAATGGCAGGAGCCAGGTACTTATCCTGGTCTCCCATGGGGTGCAGGGCCCAAGCACTTGGGCCATCCTCCACTGCACTCCCTGGCCACAGTAGAGAGCTGGCCTGAAAGAGGGGCAACTGGGACAGAATCCGGTGCCCCGACCGGGAATAGAACCCAGTGTGCTGGCACCACAAGGCAGAGGATTAGCCTAGTGAGCCACGGTGCCGGCCTAAATATATAAATTTTTAAAAATATATTGTCAGACAATAAAAAAATTCAAGGGTGAAAGAGTAGCAAAAGAGAGCAATGATTAAAAGTATGGTCTCAGAAACTAGTTTCCTGAGTTCAAATCCTCTTTCATCACTTACTATTTTAGAGAATTTTGACCGATTACTTAAGCTACCTCTTCTTCAGTTTCTTCATCTCTAAAATGAGCATAATAATAACAATGCATCTTTTTATCTAAATTAGGATAAAATTAATGTCATTTGCATATACATAAATACATATGTAGGCAGAAAAATGTCTGGCATTATGTATTAGCTAAACCACTAAATGTGATTGAGGAATGAAGAAAGGATTGATGGGAAAAATATGTCAAGAAAGGTTTGGTGGGTAACTCTAAAGATGATTGGGAATTTGCAAGAACATAAGCTAAAAATTGAATCTAATAGTAACTATATCATAGGTGTTATTTTTAAAGCAAAATTTTATATATATAATTATATATAATATATATATGATAAGACACATGAACATTTGAAAACTATACTGGATGGGTGTGGGATATTGGTGGGTACTAGGGTGAAATGAAGATTTTCCAGCCCTATAGAAAGTAAACATTTTGCAGAAAGATCTTTCATTGGCAAAGCTTAAGG